TACCTTCCAGAATTACAGTAACATGTAAGCGGCCAAGGTATGGAACACTGACAAACGAGTGTTGGCATAGGCCCCTTAGGGTACCTGAGATAACCCATTGTCCAATAAAATCTGTCTAGATTACTTCTTTGGAATTCAAGCAATAGTCACCATAATCTTCTGAACTCACCTATCTGCCTTACATTTATCTGGACTCTTGGAAGCCACTATTTCAATTGGACCTTTCTTTTGATGGTTTTTTTGAATTCCAAAGAAGTAATCTTGATAGATTTTATTGGACACTGGATTATCTCAGGGGCTTATTATATAGAAGTCTTTAAAAAGTGGAAAACTGTATTGAAGAGGAAAAGCCTAGGAAATTTGAGAAGAGAAATTGTTTTCCCCTCACAACAGTGTACCTGCTTATTCTGCACGGGTGGCAAGGTCTGCCCTATGAGAATTTCATCAGAAAGCCTTACCCTATCCACCCAGGGCTCTGATCTGCCCTTTCTGACTTCTTTTTGTTCCCCAAACTCAAACAACTTTGAAAAGGAACACTGTCAGAGTCCCTGCCCCCTTCTCCCATGGATGCCCAAACTGCCCTTTACACTTGGTGTAAATTGAAGAATGTTGAATTCTTCCAGAAGGGTTAGTGAAGTTGTTACACACTGTCAGCTGCTAGCTGAAAGGTTGGTGATTTGAACCCACCAGCTACTCCAAGGCAGAAAAGATGGGTAGTCTGCTTCTATATAGATTTCCAGCGTTGGAAAGCCTATGGGGCAGTTTCTGTTTTGTACTATTGGGTCACTATGAGTTGGAATTGACTTGAAAGCTATGAGTTGAAATATTTGTAATTGTTAATATTCTGTTAAGGATTTTGCATCTGTATTTATAAAGGTAATTAGGGTAGAACTATATTTCCTTGACATGTCTTTGTTTGGTACTGGTATCTGGGTAAAACTAGCTTTTAGTTGTAAAGTGTTTCCTCTTTCCTTATTTTCTCAAAGATTGTATTCATGATTGATATTATTTACTCTTTAACAATATAGACTTCACAAATGACCACTACTGATCCTGAGGTTTTCTTGTGGATAAGACTTTTCAAGTTGTCTATTTCTCCTTTTTTTCATCTTTGGTAATGGTTCTTTTAAAGAATTTATTCATTACATATATGTTGTCAAATTTATTAAAATAAAGTTGTCATAATATTGCTTTTTACTGCCTGAAGTATCTGTAGTGATGGCCCTGCTTTCATTCCTGATATTGGCAATTTGTGTCATCATTCCCCTTTATTTTATCCTAGGGACAATCCTGGTGAGAGAAAATGAGGAGATATCTAGGAAGAGCTATCTAACTGAAATTCCTGTTCATCCCTGAGTAGAGGAGAGAGGGAAGGGTGATTGGGGGCATGTGTCCTCTACTTACATACAATCCAAGTGCCCTATACTTCACAAAACCCTCCCAAACCAACCAAACCACTGCCATCAAGTTGATTCCGACTTA